AATAAAATAAAATAAAAAAATAAATAAATTATCCATTACCTCAGGACCCCCCCCCATTTGTGGGTTCAGTATCTGCTGAATCACTTATCCACAGTTGAAAAATATTGAAAGAAAAATCCCAGAAATATATACAGTGGTGCCTCGCATAACGAGCGCACCGTTTAACGACGAATCCGCATAGCGATCTATTTTTTGAGATCGGTAATGCGATTGCATTGCGATGTTTTAATAGGCAAAACATCGCATTGCGATGATCGTAAGCGTTTCGCTTATAGATCTTCGCATTGCGATGTTTGCGGAACAGCTGATCGGCGGTTCCAAAATGGCCGCCGGGTGCCCAAAATGGCCGCCCAAAGCATTTTCACGCGCTGCCCTCGCTTCCCGAGGCAGCGAAAATGGCAGCGCTATGGAGGATCTTCGCATAACGGTGAGTTTTCGCCCCATAGGAACGCATTAAACGAAGTTTAATGCGTTTCTATGGGGTTCCCTCCCCGCTTTGCGATGTTTCTGGGTAGTGACGATTAATCCGGAATGGATTAACATTGCTATGCGGGGCACCACTGTATTTCCAAAGGCAAAGTTACCAGAATTTGCCACTAGAGGAAGCCAGAGACCGTGCTCTGTACAACATTTGCTTTGAGCCACGTTTTTCAGCATCCACGGGCTGGCGGGGGGCTTCGAACTGATCTCCCACAGATATTGGGGGTCTTATTGTATTTGTATCCTCGCTTGGTCGTCGGGCCTTGTCAAAATAGGGCAGTCATACAATCTTACTCTATGGTCAGCGGATCGGACCATTCAGTGGTTTAGGGATCTGGCTGTGGAGCACATTTGCTTTGAGCCACGTTTTTCAGCATCCACGGGCTGGCGGGGGGCTTCGAACTGATCTCCCACAGATATTGGGGGTCTTATTGTATTTGTATCCTCGCTTGGTCGTCGGGCCTTGTCAAAATAGGGCAGTCATACAATCTTACTCTATGGTCAGCGGATCGGACCATTCAGTGGTTTAGGGATCTGGCTGTGGAGCCGGAACGGAAGTGTTCAATTCCTCCACAGGGCCTCCCGGGAGAAAGAGCCAGCCTGGGTGGCCTTGGGCCAGCTGTAAAGTTCCCAGGACACCCCCAGAAAAAAAAAAGGACAGGGTAAACCACTTCCGAGTCTCCTCTGCCTTGAAAACCTTGGAAAGAGTTGCCGTAAGTCGGAACTAACTTAATGGCACATGGTTATTAATGTCCGAGGAAGTGGATTTGACTGGCAGAACTGCACACTGAGAGAGTCTTCAAGAAGCCACCATGTTTCTGTCTCTTGTGAGTTTGGTTTGATGCACCAAAAAAATGTAAATTTTTAAAAATATGGACAATTCGTTACACGCCTTTCCTATAAGAGCTCTTTCCTCCCCTTTACGCACAACTCCCCGAACACTTCCTTGGTTGTGCCCCTTTTCCACCCGGCAAGAAGGCGGCCCCAAGCAGCTTACTCACATGCGTACACCACTGGAACTTCGGATCCCGCATGAGCTCATGCTCCGTCAGCTTTTTGTGAAAGAGATCGTAGGTTTCCCGGTCCAGGCAGCTGCGCAGCTGTGAGGAGGGGAGAGGAGAAGCAGGGAGAAAGATGAGAATTAGAGAAGGTGGACAACCGGGTTGCCTAAAATGTTTTATAATTTCGGAGAGAAAAAGGGAGAAGACCGCTCCGAATACCATCAGGCTATAGACAGCGGAGGGGGCTATGGCTTGGAAAGAGATTTTAGAGGAAATCCTGTAAGAAGGGATCGTTACGCTGTAGACGAAGGTCTGTTTTTCCCCTCTTCAGGGAGGCTGACAAAATGTGGCACATGAGCCACAAGGGGAGCCCTGTGGCGTGGTGGTTATGTGCTATTTCAGTCGCCTCTGATTTTTGACTAATGAATGACACCCCCAGCCCCCCCCCCGCAAAATGCCCTATCATTAATAGCTCTGCAAAATCAAGGCCATGGCTTCATTTATGGAGTCCATCCATCTCCTCTATTTGCTCTTCCTCTTTTCCTCCTGCCACTTTTCCTAGCTAGAGCCCTGGACAAAGAAAGAAAGAAAGAAAGAAAGAAAGAAAGAAAGAAAGAAAGAAAGAAAGAAAGAAAGAAAGAAAGAAAGAAAGAA